AGGATCCTTTGTCACTACCAAAGTGACTACCTTTATGTAAAATTTCTTATCCTCTATTTCTGATGTGACCTAATCTATTATGCTAGAAAACAGATTTATCACCTATCACAGAGTTAACAGAATCAAGCACAGGTTCAGCATGACAAACATACAAGTTATTTTGTTTTTCAATAGTAAAAATAACAAGAGACCCTTTTAAAATTTTCATAACCCCTTTACCCCATTTTCCCTCCAAACCATCATTTTCTAGAGATGCACAAGAAATCAAGTTATAACGTAAATCAGGAACATGCCTAACATCCTTCAAAGTAAACACAGAACCAGAAGAAAACCTAAGGCATACATCACCAGTTCCTAAAACATTGCATTTCTTTTCATTTGCCATTGACACAAAGCCATTCTCTATTTTCTTGTAGTTTGAAAACATGTTTTTAAAAGGAGTCATATGAAAAGTACAACCAGAGTCTACTAACCAATCTGATTTACACAAAGAATCAGATAACACAGAGTTCAAATATGTATAATCACACATATTATTAATCATGAAAATTTCACCCATTTCCCCCTCACAAACAGCCATATTAGTATGATCATTTTGTTGATTTTCCCTAGGCTTAGGACAATCTCTAATAAAGTGACCGGTTTCATGATAGTTATAGCATCTTCTAACTTTAGACCTAAACTTAGATCTACCCTCCATTTTCGGATTTTTTCCTTCTTGATTCTCCATTACTTGCATTCTCTTGGTTATTAGACCTATTCTGAGACCTACCCCTCACATGCATAACCTCACCGGAATTTTTAGTTTCCCCAGAATGTTTTAAATCCAATTCCTTACTCTTAAGACCATTGATCACAATGTCAATGGTAACCTCATCTCTACCATACTTAATAGCAAATTTCACATCACTATATGAGTCAGGAATAGTATTTAGAAGGGTAATAGGAGTATAGTCATCTATATGTTTATCACCAGTTAACTTAATATCTGAAATAAGTTTTGTGAAAACATCTAGGTTCTCCTCAATATCCTTAGACATATCCAATCTAAATTTAAAAAAAATTTCAAGCAAAAATATTTTACTGGGCAAAGAGGTTTCAGTATAGAGTTCTTCAAGTTTATCCAAAATTTCAAGCAAAAATATTTTACTGGGCAAAGAGGTTTCAGTATAGAGTTCTTCAAGTTTATCCCAATGGGTTTTAGCAGATTCCAAAATTTTAACTTTTCTAATCACAGAGTCAGATAAGTTCAAATAAATTATGAAACAAGCATTTTCATTCATTTTAGCTTTTTTTCCTTCAATGTCAGAAGTTAAATAAGTCTGACCAACAGCCCTAAAAGACTTTTGTTGAATTAAAATACATTTTATTTTTTGTTTTCAAATGCTAAAATCAGATTTTCCGTTGAACGGAATCATACCATATTGATTAGCAGCAAACATTTTTCACACAGAAAAATAAACAATGGAATCATCGTGACTAGCACGAACAAATCTGATTTCGGTAATTATCCGGCTCGAAACGTGTGAAGCAACTAACACGAACAAAATGAGAAGAACGATGAACACTGAGTTCTTGTTTCAATCTCTTTGTTCTTTCACACGGGGCATAAACAATAACAGAAATAATTTTATTTTTTAAAATGCAACAAAGCCAGAGTTTTACTACTGTCAATTCTCAACAACGCCAGTCAACAAACCCAGAGATTAAACGCAGCGAAAAAAAAAGATAATCTTGAAGATTTACTGTAATTTTCAACAAAGCTATAAATTAACTGTAAATTTTCATCAAGCATATAGATTAACTATAATTTTCAACCAAGGCCAGAGTACACCTGAGTGAAACCCTAGGATAGGGTTTCGACCTTACCCACGCCCACGCGGCGGTCCGGCAGCGGTCCGGCTATGGTCCGGCGGTGTCCAGCGGTGACGACCAGCGGTGTTGGAAGGGTGACGACTCACCGAGCTCTGATACCACTGTTAAGGATCGACGTCGTCTTGTTTGGCTCAGAAGCCTGCTCTAACAGTCCGATCTCCTTCAACTATGCACCACCATGAACACAAAGGGGAACCCACTGATCTACCCTACACAAGTCACTCACAAAGAGGAAAGGGGATTCGCACAAAGGGCTGGACGGGAAGAGAGAATCGTACAAAGGGTGAGAGCACAAAGCTCACAGGAGCACAAAGCTCACAGAGGGTGGGGATCGCACACAAGCTAGGGCACAAAGCTCAAGTTCTCTTCCTCCTTCTTCCTCTCTTCTTCCCACCCCGAGCTACTACCATGCCCTTCGACTTAAATAGAAGAAGGGGGCAACCAACACGAGAGGAAAAAGCTAGGGTTCAAATGGTAGGAGCCGACCTACATGGTATGGGAGATGGGACTCCAAGCGGCAGCAGCGCAGGACACATGATGGAGGGGGGCAACCGACAGAGGGTTGAGTACCATCGGGTATGAAGAGAGGAATAGAGGGGGCTAGGGCAAATCAAGTGGGTAGCTGGGCCACATTGTAACGAGCCAACTTATTTGGGCCAACAAAAATAACAACAATCTCCACCTTTGGCCCAAGGAAAAGATAGCCAAATGACTATCACAGTATATATTTCAAATATTTTAAATATTACATCTTTATACTAGTCAATGATACAAAAGGTGAAGGTAGTGTAGTATGTACATAGGAACATGTTGGATGTTAGCTTCTGAAGGCTGCTCCTTTGCTCTGAAATATTCTTAGTTGTCTCTGAGCCAATGGGACCAACATGTGGCTAATACAATGGAATCCCAAAGCCAAACTGCAAGGAATCAACTCTGTGCCTTCTCCAGGAGCTCCATAAGAAGGATATGTATGGATGCGATTGAAGAATGAAAGGGTCCCAAACAATCTTACAAGTTTGAAAGTGGAGTCTCTGTGGTGTTTTCTGAGTTGAGATGATGGAAGATATACTCTCTGAACTTGGTGTGCTGTTTTGTCATGAAAGCACATCAGCCGTGAGTAGTCTGTCTTGAAGTGTTAGCCACATTATACAGTGCACTTTCAATGGTGCTGCAGCCTTCCAAATCTTCTGCTTGCTCAAGGGGATCGCTAGGTTGGAGGTTTTAGTTGAGTGCAGCAAGAATCCCTCTTGAATCGGTTGTCCAGATAAAAGCATCCGGTAGTTGCCTCCAGCATTTGTTTTCTATAGGTGTAACTGCAACATGTATTGTCTAGTCCATATGCATATATTTTTTATAATCTGAAACTATATTTACTGTTACCTTGGTATCAAAATTTAATGTTGGTGATTACGTGATGGTTCGGATACGTCCGGAACGGTTTCCTCCGGGAGCTGTTAAAAAGTTGCATGCGCGAAATGCAGGACATTTTAAGATTCTCAAGAAAATTAATGATAATGCTTATGTTCTCGACCTTCCCGAAGGTTTTAATATTGGTTCGACTTTTAATATTGAGGATTTAGTAGAGTACAAAGGCCCACATTTTAACCCTGACAACCCACTGGTTGATGAGCCTACCCCTGAGCCTATTTCTGAGAGCTCCCCTTTACCTCCACTTCCCCAGATATCACCCACATATACAGCACAGGAAAAGGTGTATAGCCATGTTCTTTTTAGTATTTATTTACTGATTCATCAACTTTTGTTGCTATCTAACTCATTTATTCTTTGCTTTGCTGTTCGTGTTTTTGGTGCAATGATTCTTCAGTGTATTTAGGTAAGAGATAACATCTATGATCCAGCTCACAATTTTTATTGGTTCCCATTTTTCAGCAGAAGTTTATAAATTTGGCTTTGCATCAGGAAGCTATGTGATGGGGACATCCGGACTCATACACGAGATTTTCGCCGAGTTTATCAGCGCAGGAGGCACAATATTTCAGCACTATGGTTTTAATTTCAAGTTGTAATAATTAGTTTGAATTTTGAATTTTTGAATTTCGAATTTTGATTTTTATTTGGTAGTTATTGAGCTGATTTAAACTAATTGGTTATGGGAGTGATTTGAGGGATTTAGAGGATTTTCCAAAACTGTAATTTGCTTTATTTAAACTCGGCCGATAGAGGGTTGAGTACCATCGGGTATGAAGAGAGGAATAGAGGGGGCTAGGGCAAAACAAGTGGGAAGCTGGGCCACTTTGTAGCAGGCCAACTTATTGGGCCAACAAAAATAACAAGAAGAAGGATGAAATTCTATCGTGTAACATATAGTAGCTAGATATACATTTAAATTAACACCAGTATTTTTTTCCTATCACAAAAAAAGATAGCCAAATGACTATCACAGTATATATTTCAAATATTTTAAATATTACATCTTTATACTAGTCAATGATACAAAAGGTGAAGGTAGTGTAGTATGTACATAGGAACATGTTGGATGTTAGCTTCTGAAGGCTGCTCCTTTGCTCTGAAATATTCTTAGTTGTCTCTGAGCCAATGGGACCAACATGTGGCTAATACAATGGAATCCCAAAGCCAAACTGCAAGGAATCAACTCTGTGCCTTCTCCAGGAGCTCCATAAGAAGGATATGTATGGATGCGATTGAAGAATGAAAGGGTCCCAAACAATCTTACAAGTTTGAAAGTGGAGTCTCTGTGGTGTTTTCTGAGTTGAGATGATGGAAGATATACTCTCTGAACTTGGTGTGCTGTTTTGTCATGAAAGCACATCAGCCGTGAGTAGTCTGTCTTGAAGTGTTAGCCACATTATACAGTGCACTTTCAATGGTGCTGCAGCCTTCCAAATCTTCTGCTTGCTCAAGGGGATCGCTAGGTTGGAGGTTTTAGTTGAGTGCAGCAAGAATCCCTCTTGAATCGGTTGTCCAGATAAAAGCATCCGGTAGTTGCCTCCAGCATTTGTTTTCTATAGGTGTAACTGCAACATGTATTGTCTAGTCCATATGCATATATTTTTTATAATCTGAAACTATATTTACTGTTACCTTGGTATCAATTTGTTGTTATCTTGTGATTATTTTCTTTCATCTTTTTCTTATACTTGCAGGGAATTGCTGTGGTTGCACTTCTGAGGCATTTTGGATGTCCTTGCTGGTATGTGCAAAAAAGTTATGTGAGAATACTTTCACTAGGATACAACAAATAATTGACTCATCATATTTAAATCTTCAACTACGTTGCCCTCTCATTTGTTTGCATACATTTAGCTGGGAACTTGCTTCCGTCTTGAAAGAGTCAAAGCCGAGATTTGATGCATCTGGTGTGAAATTGATTGCTGTTGGTGTTGGTACTCCCAATAAAGCTCGTTTACTTGCAGAACGAGTATATACCCATCCCCTTCTTTTTAGTCATAGCTTACTAGACATTTTTATTGAATGCTTGTGGTACAAAAATAATCCCATTTTTCCCTTTTAAAGACTATATCGTTTTGGTTTTGTGGTTAATTATTCTCTTTGATTTTCCTTGGCAGCTACCATTTCCGCTGGATTGTCTTTATGCAGACCCAGATCGCAAGGTTATGATTTTTATTTAATTAAATGGTCAATGATTTTTATTTAATTAAATGGTCAACCCACTTAATTTCTGCCTTAATGTGGGCCAATATGTTCTCATATGGAAAGCCTTTACAGGCGTATGACCTCTTGGGCTTATATTATGGTTTTGCACGCACTTTTCTCAATCCTGCCAGTGTAAGTATCATGTTTGTTTCCTAGTACTATCCTCATCTGTATACATTTTAAATATGAGATTTTTTTAAAAAATTTTATTTACAAGTTATAGTTTAGGTGTTGTTATCTTGTTTCAATTCCCATGCAACAGACAAAAGTGTTTTCAAGTTCAAGATTTGAGTCTCTGAAGAAAGCGGTAAAGAACTACACAATTGAAGCTACCCCAGATGATAGAAGTGGTGTCCTGCAACAGGTGAATATCCTTCTTCCTCTTTTTATTAACCAATGAAGAGTCAACTGGCAATATATAACTCCTCATGCAGCCTAATTCAAGACTTAATTTCAGTTTCCTATCAGTGCATAACAAAGTTAACAACCATACAACAAACCTAGTTGTCCTTCAATATTGATATTTCAAATAATGCTCCTTTCCGA